TCTCATGGCTTGTTATTTTATTATTTTTATTGTTTTATATATTATATACTGTCCAATATATAGTCACCGTATCAGTATCACTATTTGGTCAGCCAATTATTGGGCTGAACTCTGGCATTTTGAGATCATTAGCATAAGCTGATTCCTGCACTCACAAGGCCAATAAACAAACAATGTGTGTGGACACATCTGCCGACAACCTTGTCAGTGTGGCTGCTAGTAACGATGTTAGCGTCCCCGTTGTGAGTTTTGGGAAGGTGGTAAAGGTGGTTTCAAGCCTTCAATTTTGTCAGTCACTGTCATCCATTCAACATGTTAACACGTCTCCCATCCTAAATGACAGCAATACCAACAGGTAAACGTTTTGTTCACATGAACAATCACCTTTGAATCTTCACCTTTTGGTTGCACATTTTCACACAGCTTCCACACACACTAGGGGGCGTTGGAGTATTTTTTTCTCTTTCAACTTCACTGACAGAAATGACTGACCTGAAAACAAAACAACCATTTATCCAATTAGATGCTAATTGGAGTGTGTATTATTTTTTTGTTTTGTGTCAACCATAGCTCTTTTGTCAGATTTTATTTTTAACCAGCTACACACAAACTGGGGTTTAAAATGTTCACTGCAGCTGTAGCTGTGATGCCTATGGGATGTGTTAGGACATATTTCAGAGAGCTGTACAACACTGACCTCTCTCCAACTGCTGCCTTTCCTCTCTCTTGACCTGTGACCTCAAAGCCATATCCTCATCTTTACTGACACATTAATCTAAAATTGTGTGAGGGTTGTGCCACCTGGTGCCTATCAAGAAAATAACACATACACCCACACAGGCTGCCTGTCAGTGTGTTTAGAGACCCCCCCCCCAAATTCCTTTCATCTACTTTCGTCATAAGCCCATCTTATGCCTCTCTCATGAAATGCAGATACTGCAGCAATATTTTAAGACATGAGGAAGAGAACAATTAATATCTGATTTACAAAGATGTACAGTAGCAGAGCCAAAACATTGTACTTAAAATTCTCAAAATGAATACCCTATAGTATATTCATAGGGCACGTGATTCAGGCCTGAAACCAGCAGAGCTTTGCAACTGATCACATACTTTGCATTGTTTCCTTAAGAGTGGATTGTTTTGCTAAGTGATTTTCATACAAATGCCTGAGGAGAATTATTCCCACGAATCCCTCATAGACTGCATTATATTAGTAGCTTACCAGAAGTACCAGAAGAAAGAGTCAGAGGAGGCTTAAGCCTTATCACAAACCTGATTGTATTTTAGAGAGGGGATTCTTGTCATTGAGGGATTTTCTGCTTTGTCATTCTGTACAGGATTTCCTTCTGCCGGGGGAAAAGTATTCCTATTTGCTTTCTCCTAAGCAACTTCCTCCCTCAAAGGCTGCTCAAACAATACATCCAACACAGGTGGCTTTCTATTTGAAGAATTTGAATAAAATGAGTGCATCAATAAAATAATGAATAGATAAATAAACCTTGGCCAACATGATGAGGTCACTTACATTTTTTAGTTTCTATTCACTCAAAACCTAATTTCCTTCCCCACCCCTCCACCAAAATACAAGAATGCAACCTGGTTCCTCTCCTACATTGACTGACACATGTGTTAATGTTTTGAAATATGTCTGTTTTAATTTCCCTTATTTACTGATCTTTGTGCAAGACCTTTGTTATGGCCTTCCTTGTTCTATTTATTATGTGCGACTGCACTGTTAATTATTTTTTATTCAATGTATTTATTTTAAGTTGTGTGGACCCCAGAACGACTAGCAAACACTTTGTGGAAGCTAAGTAGGATCCAAATGAAAAATAATGGATGTACTAACACGAGATCGAAGACACATCTCCTAAAAAGCTACTATTGTTTGTTTTCTGACATTGTTAATGTAACTCTTCTAATATATGTGACTTGACCTGTAAATGTTAACAAATTAATTTGCCTTTAAAAATGGTCCTTCAAAGTGTGACATAGATAGAAATATTGGTTTCTGTTGTGCTGACTTCAGGAATTAGGCTACTGTCGTTGAAAAGTGGGTTAACTCATCCCCGGTCTGCCCATAGTATTGTTTGTCCAGCTTTTTGCCAAGCTGCAGTCAGTGACAGTGTAAGTGCTGTGCTGAGCCAGGTGGTGACGCAGGTAGGTATGAGCCTGGCAGGGAATGGTGGTGAGTTTTCACCAGGTGGTGAGTAAAACTGGCATTGCCCTGTACTGCATAATCCAAGCTCACTATTTGGCAGATATAGAGAGTCAACTTTAGCATTTGCTGCACTCTGCAACACAGACGTAAATGTATGTAGCCTATCTTTCTATGTGTATGATAAATGAATATACTGGGTGTGTCTATTTCTTGTAGACTATAATAGAATCAATAAATCACCCAATCTAGCAACCTATCAATTTTTTTGTGGAATTCATCTTGTCTTATCAACTGACTGTTCATACACTGTAAAATCAATCTTTAGTATAAGGTACAACATTGTCTTTATCTTTGAGTATATACGCCATGCTCAAAAGTGTATAAAAGCCTAAATAACTAATGTATAGACATTCATTGACAAATAATTGTTACATTTTCAGAATGCTTTAAATTCATGAATAATCATGTTTCAAAAATGATTCAACTTTGTTGTTATGTTACCTAGTTGTACAATATTTAAAATATTTCTCTAGAGAAAGTTTTGTAGTTTACACACTGTTTTGTAATGTAAATATTCTGCTACCTACAGGTTTCAGCTGAACCTTCTACTGTCTTTTATTGACTTTCCAAATGCCTTTATTGGAGCATTATGTGAGTATTTTCTTTTCTTACACCTGTTTTGTGATTGTTGATTTGTGATGTGCAAATTAATAAAATTTTTCTGTGATGACTTTACAAGATAGACATTGCAGCTAGCAAGCATTCTGAGGCTAATGTGTTGCTAATACAACATGTAGGCTAACAGGTAGGTTAAATTGGTGTTGGGCAAACTGTTATTTTACTATTTTTACTTATGCTTGTGTGTATGTTTCCTAGATGAATTGTTGTGTGGACTTCCTAATGTTGATCTTTCACTGGTGAAAACTTCTGTTTCTTCTTTGCATGAGGGACAATGAAACTAGCTAACTGCTAGTCTATCATTTTGTGGATCTTGTTTCCTTGTTAGGCTACTGTACTAATTAATTTTTACTACACTTTACTCTAACTATGGTTTAGTAAATCATCATTTTCTGATTTGTAACGTTAGTCAATTAATTTGTTATCTAAGTTAATAACCTAGCTTGTTACATACTGTAGCTGTGCATGTAGGCCTATAATAACTTAGAATAATATATATAACGATAATGAGACATGTTTTAATTTTATAGTAATTTAGTTAGTGTTATTTCTAACCTTTGTTTTGGGGCATGTATCATAGCCAAGTTAAATTTTCTATGTTTTTTTTTAAATACAGTTTTTGAACACATTTCAGGTCAATGAGGATGAGCCTGAGCATGAATTTCATTGTTGCCAGCTCCTGACTATATTAGCAGAACAATAGAGAGCATTAGGACCCTGAGGCAGGGAGGGCTTCCCCCCCTCTCATTATCCGTTGATTTGACAGTTTCAGCGACCGACGACCAGTCAGAGGAAGGATGAGGAGCGGAGAAGGAGGCGGCTTGCGTTACCCTTAAGTTTTGTAAATTTTCTTCGTTGTTTGAACGGTCCACTGCAATGTCTGTCAAACACAGCTGCTCTTTATTCGACACATTTTCAACCGGATATTCCCGAGTTGGCGCTTGGATTAACGTTGCTGCTCCTGTTGTGTTTTTGTAGGTGACAGTCAATCAAACAATTCATCTGATCGGTCAGGACGGGTTCAGTTTCTGCGGACAGATTATTTGTCGACTTGTTTCTCATTTTGGGAGCTGTGTGCCAACGTTTCGACTTGTAACTAGCAGCCGGCGCAGCAAGTAGTCACACTTGACTGGAAGTGGAGGCTGAGACGCACACGTGTTATCCTCCTTCCTCCGGCAGCACCGAGATTTAAACACACTCGGGATAAAGTAGTTTTTCTGTGGGATTTCGTTTAAAACACGGACGACGGCGTGGCAGACAACATGTCGCTAAGCAGAAGTATAGAATTTGAACACTTTGAGGAACGAGAGAAACCTCAGCGGACACCGAGGACCAACTCAGGCTCTGGGTCCCAGTCTGGCTCCAGAGGCAACGGTCTGGTCCCCAGCCCGGCGCACAGTGCGCACTGTAGTTTTTACCGCACACGCACTCTCCAATCCCTCACTTCCGAGAAAAAGGCCAGAAAAGTGCGGTTTTACCGCAATGGGGACAAATATTTTAAAGGTTTGGTGTATGCAATTTCTAACGACCGGTTCAGGTCTCTGGATGCTCTGCTCATGGAACTCACACGGTCCCTGTCTGACAATGTCAACCTTCCTCAAGGAGTCCGGACGTTATACACGTTGGATGGAGGCAGGAAGATCACCAGTCTGGATGAGTTAGTAGAGGGTAAGGGTGATGATGGATTTAACAACCACTTCCTGTCACTGCAAATCATGACAATGCTCAGTACTTGATTATATTGATGCTAGATAATGTGCATTGATTCAGACCTGCAATTGATTTTATAAAAGCTAGGGGTTGCCTTGAGCATTGGCTAAATGGTCCATACAAATATACTACTATAGCCTGAGGGAAGTTATTCCACATGTTTAAAAGGTTGAAGGGCTGGCCCCTAATGGCTCTACCTAGTGTATTTAATATGTATGTTGTCAGTCAGCAAAGTTGTCAATGGCAAACAGAAGCTTACTTTAGTGCTTTTATGCATAGATCCACTGTACTGTAGCCTATCTATACATTTATCCCTGGAGAACATCACAGTATAAGAGATGCAATGCAGAGCTTCCCTTGCATCATTCACATCATTTGCATCATTGACATAACTGTTCTGACATGGCTGACCCAGTGCCGCGCAAGCAGACAAGGAGACCCCTTCTCATTGCAGCTTTAGTTCCACTCAGGCTTTTACTAATCTGTATCAGTATCCATTGATCTCAGCTGGACTCTCTTCCCTCTCTTTAGTATGTACAGTATTTGTGAGCTGAGTTTGTGTGGGCTTCAAAGTGCCTTGTGTGCCTCCTAAGTGCACTCCTGCGTGAGAATGAAAGAGTGTGATGAATGTCTATGTTGTTGCAGTGTTGTTGTTGGCTCTTTTAAAATGATCTCACCCTTGGGGCTTGAAAGATTGATGTTTCCCTCGCACATCCAGTGTCTGTTCATTGCTTGCTGCTAGAGATAAGGGGTTTTAATGTCGGAAATGTAACTCATATTTGGAAACTAGTATGATAAAGTCATCATTTATAAACTAAAATATTGGAGTTTTAAAATACCAGCTACTAGTGAATGTCTCACACTGCTATCACCCTGCAGTCACTGCTATATGATAAGTTTAGTCATTTTTGTAAGGAGTTGGAGAACTGATACGACTCTCTTGTCAAATATAGCCGTGTGCATTAGCATACATGTTTTTCTGTAAAAAACACCATCAAACGTAGTCACACACTGCAAACACCAATGGGGCACAATCTTCTCCTACCCTTTCACCTTCCTGCTGTGTTGTTCATCCTGCAGGGACAGTGACCTCTCAGTAATGAGTTAATCTTAATGTTCAGCCCTGGCATTGTGTCTGTCTGCACCGTGACCTTCCTGCAATCCTCTTTTAACATAAGAGGTTACTGCTGTGCCACACACACTCAGGATCCACTGAACTCTTACTGCAGTCATTATTCTCAAATACTGATCTATTTTCATCTCACATCCGCCTAAAAGTTTACTCTGTGCTACACTCATTTCCTATGCCCCATCCCCCGAGTGACCGGGGAAGATTTAGGCCAGCGCCTGATCTGAATTCTGTAGCATCGCAAGTTTGGCAGTTTGTGCAAATGTTGTTTTGGTGCATTGGGTCTGGTACAGAGCACTCTGCCCCTGCACTTCTGCACTTATATGTACAGGACATTGTAGCTAAACGAGGATCCTGGTTATATATTCAAAAATCATTAGTTCTGTCCAGAGTACTGCTGATGCTTCAACAATTCATTTTGTCTGCAGTTGTTTTGTTTTCAAGAGAGTCAATTCACCCAAATCACAAGGAAAAATTCTTTTTACCCCTAGTGTTGTCTGGCAGTGCAGATTATTTGTTTTTGTTATCTAGGACTTTTGTTTAATGGAATTTCCTGCATGGTGCTGAAAGCATCGAGAAATTACCTATATGTTACCAGAGACAATGTCCCTGTTGCTTAGCATAATTCACTGGCCCTCACTTTAGACTGTTTTTGATTTTCAGATTTTTGTGGTGTGGGTAAACTCCGACATGAGATGTACTGCAGGTGGGCCAAGCACCAGTGTCTTGTCCTTGTTTACTCACCCATTTAATGGAAAGAGAGAGGGGACATTACTGCACAGCTCAGCAGTTTGCCTCCATTGACTGAGGCCTGCTGGAGCTGTTTTGTGTGGAAATCCAATAAGAACCATTCACATGTGTGTCCTTTTTGGCTGAATGGGATTACGCAGCCAACCAGACAACTTGTAGGGTTTTTCCATAGTATGGGAGGTAGGCGCACCAAGCCATGCCATGACCCAGACCACAAGCACTCAAGCCGCACTGGCACAGTCCGAGTGTTGTTCCACAGCACAGCAGGGTAAAGTGGTTGACCTTGATGACATGTTGGAGGTGTGCTAGTCACAAACCATAGTAAGAGCCATAAAAGCCAAAAGAACACATTGCATTTTCTATAGTCTAAGTGCTTCACAATAAAAGCATAAGGCAGGTTTGCCAATGTAAAGCTTCAAGGTTCAATTTGTATCAGCAGTAAACTGACACAGTTCCAATATGACTGAAAGCATCAGTAAACAGTAAGATGATGCTGATATCAGTACAAGTACAAATAGGAACACAGGAGGTGAAACTAAACTCCAAACCTCAGAGATTCAGGTAGAAGCTACTTTTTTTAAAAACTCAAGCAGACTGACACAGGCTCATGGTTACAATGTGGATATATCGGGCTGCTGATGTAGAAATTCTAGTAGGGACAATGGCGAGAGTATAAGCCAAGTGGTTTTCAAGACAAGAAAGTGGAAAAGTATATGAAGGCATAAAAACATAAGAAACGTTGTGTATTCTATAACTTTGTTGAATTCATGGTGTACTCACTAACAAAGTAGAATGACTACTGGTCGGCTGAACAAGAGCCCTGATCCAGGTGTGTCAACTTACCTGTCATGGTCCTGAAGAAACACACCCGTTTCTGGATTTCATTGCTCATGAAGTTTCTTTAAGGGAGAATGTTAAAAATCTGGATTCATTCTAAACAGGTCATACTTCTTAAGGAAGTAGTGAGAAGAAACAAAAACACTTCTTTGTGTTAGTGCCCCCATTAGAGAGGTACTCCAGTGATTTAGTGCACTTTCATTAAGTTAAGGAACTCACAGGAGACAGATTACAGAACAGAAAGGTCAAATTTGAAGCGAGCAGGTGAAGTCACTAGTATGTGCCAAGCTCCAAAAACACTGGATCTTACATTTCCCCTAATGCAGCCATTAGCATATAATTTCGTTTAACCCTCCCTGTCTGAAAAATGCACACATCTTTCAAACTCCATGCCCACAGTATGTTACGCAGTCTGTGTTCCAAGCCCATGTCAAGATAACCCTGATGATATCTCAGACTTTAAAAAGCTCCCTCTAGTGCCACAGAAGACCACATACAAATGTTTTCACAGGCTGAGTAGTAATCCTCATGATAAGTAAATTGATTTTTATGTGTAAAACTGGTGGAATGCTGCAGTAGAGCTACATTCATAGAGCTACACCTCAAAAGTTCAGCTAGCTCCAGGGCTAGCTGAACTTTTGAGGCTTAATTAAATACCAACTTTTGTAATGAAAATACTCCCCTAAAATAAATTGTCTTTAATTTATACATATTTTGAAATGTTCCAATATAGTGAATTACCTAGATTTGTTATGATTGCCTGGATACTTTCAGTTTTAAACCATTTTAATTTCAATTATGTTGGATTAATAAATTTACAGTTTTAGAAGCCATTCAGTCATGAATATTTTTGAATGTATAATTTGTTGAGGCTCTTGGGATAAAGCTCCAGGCTAACACTCAGCTGCATTGTGAATGTATGCTTGTTGGATAGATGAAGTTGTGGTCCTCTGTTTCTTGGTAGTACTAGGCCTTTAGTCACTCTGTGATCACTAAATGTGAAATTCTGCTCAGCAAAAGATTAAACATCAAACTTTTCAATTAGGCTGTGGCCTGTTGGTGTATCAGCCACCAGAAACCAAAAGTGTGCTGGTTAAGCTGGTCCTCTTCCTTTTACCACAGTGGTGAGTATTATGTCAGCAAACCAGAAGACCATACATGCTGAGAATATCATTGGATCATGGGGTCACTTCATTGTTTGGTTCTTACATTGCCTTGATATTAACAATGTTTCATGATTCCCATTTACTGCCATCACTTGGATTTTAGATTGGTGACAGCTGTGTGACCGCTGCAGTAAAAGCTGTTGGACTGGTTAGACAGCTCTGTTACGGTTGACCTCATCTGTCGTCCACATGAGGACAGCAGCCAGTGGCGGGTGGCTGGGGCTCCCCTCACATCACTGAGGGATGTAGCACCTGAGATCCCTGCACCTCTGGGAATAGACTTGTCACTAGTCACCATCTGAGGGCATTTATGTATTTTGCCAATGTTCCCCAGATGAATGACAGCCCCAGTTATATTTTGTTTTTAGTTTTCAACCATAGCTCAGTCCCCCCAGCTGTGGCCTAGCCTTTTAATTAGCCCTTGGTTAATTGCAGGCTTAATAAAACCAGGTGTCGTGGGACACGCTGTCTCATATGGCCTTCTTACACTGCAGCCCAATTCGTTTGTCGTGACACATATCAGATAACTAAGATTTTATAGATTGGATTTGACTCTTAGTTAGTAAAATTAACAACTTACCAAAATATACTGAATGATCTTTTTCATCTAGCCCTGTAAAGTTAGAATTTACAGTATGTAAAGTAGATATGTTTCGTGAAGTATCTGTTAAGCATACGTTGACTCTGAGAGATGATCATGTGTTTTCAGACACACGGATGAATGTAGCATGAAAAGAAAGCATCTTTCACTTTCCCTCTCTTACTCAGCATTGAGTTTCTCAACCAGCTCTCGGCCTTCAAAACAATCCCCAGACATTCTTGCTGTGGTTTTCATTTACCGGCCAAGCCCCTGTACTTGTCCCATGACTTTGTTTCTTAAGGGGAAACATTTGCGTGTTTACTGTTCGAATGGAATGCTGGCAGATAAAACAAAATGCTTTGCATTGGAGGAAGGCCAGTGCAGCAGCTCAACAGCTGAAAGGGAGAGAGGACAGTGTTACACTGGTCTGGCCTCTCAGTGTGCCTTTTTGTTTCAGCTGAGGAATGTTAACTCTTTGTTGTTCCAACAGTTTTGCGTGAGGTGGATTCTGATGTGTTGCATGTTTTATTTTTAGAATTTCTTAGATGTGGATATGGTTTGCAAAATATCCATGTTTGGACTTTCAATTCTACCAACTTTTGTCTTCCTCCAGGTGAGAGCTATGTGTGTGCATCAAATGAATCCTTCCGCCGTGTGGAGTACACCAAGAACGTTAACCCCAACTGGTCCCTGGGCAGCAAGACCGGCACATCGCGCTCCCTCTCCTCTCTCATCCCGCTGAAGAGTGAGTTGCAGCGTGAGTCCAAGGACTTTATCAAACCCAAGCTAGTCACGGTCATCCGCAGCGGTGTCAAACCCCGCAAGGCAGTACGGATACTGCTCAATAAGAAGACCGCACACTCCTTCGAGCAGGTGCTCACCGACATCACAGATGCAATCAAGTTGGACTCTGGGGCCGTGAGGAGACTGTACACGTTGGAGGGCAAGCAGGTGAGTCTGTCCTGATGCATGCTTGTTTAAAGACTGGATGGTAATTGCAGCCCTGATGATCACCAAAGCAAACTCATGCAAAATCAGACAGTTAAACAAGGCCAACCTCTTGTTCTTGCCAATATCTATGAACTCATTGACTAAAATTACATAACATGACAGTTAGAGGGAGGTAACTGTATTGTTTTCAGTGAGATGAGATCGGATTATGTGTATATGAAAACCAGATGGAGCTGCTATGCTGAGCTTTTTGGCCCAAGGTTTTATCTCCAAAAACTGCTGTGATTTATAGGCTTCAGCTGTGTCAGCATTCTAGGTAATTACTTTCCGTTTAATCATCCATACATAATTACACACCACAATTATTTCAACAAGGCACTAATGAATACACTTAAGAGTTCAGGCCTTTTGCCATATCCATCAGTATGGTTTCCTCCTTATCTCACCCGCCTCTGTAAAGTCATGAGAGACTGTTCATCCAGGAGATAGATGCATAGATATATATGTAGTTGTTGTGTATATATATATGTATGTGTGTGTGTGTGTGTGTGTGTGTGTGTATATGTTATTATTCCATCTGAAATTTTCATTGAGGGTCCTTGGTGTTTTGAGATTAGGTAAGCTTGAACACATGGGGCCCCTAATCAAAAAGATTTATATGGCATTGTCTCATCTGGTAGACATCTTAGATAACTGTTATTACTTTGTTTTAACTCTCCTCTCACAGAATTATTTATCTTAAAAGAGGTAAAGTTTTTTAAAGTAAAACATAAACAAAATAAAAGTACTAGGTTAAAATAAAAAAATAAGTTCCATGAAGTGAATGTAAAAGCTTTGTCACCTTAGATCTTAAGCTTTGGGAGAGTTGAGGGGTTTGTGTGAGTTTGTGCAGGGCTGAAATGCAGTTAAGATGTCTGCAGTGTTTCCCATTAATTAACGAGACTATGGCGGTCCGCCACAGTCTAATTTGTTCCGCCATAGTTTCAAAATAAACCAAAGCTATGTTAACATTAAAGACAGAACGCTGCTCTCCTCTGCTGTAAACTCACGCTCACACACTTTTGCATCCGGCTCGAGACAACCACTATTCTTTTGAGGTAATTACTGTAACGTTTGCACAGCGTGATTCCACTGTCTCTCGTTATGAGGTCATAGCAGCCGCTAAATTTGGAGTGCACACGTTTTAGAGCCTTTATGGTAAATGCAATTAAAAGGAGCAGAGCGAGTGTATATATACTTATATAATTTATCAAATTACATCAGACTTGGTAAATGTAGCGCGACGATACACATGTGACAAAGTCCGGTTTTCAAAATAAGGTTTTAACATAACGTATACAGTATGGAAATAAGATTAATTGGATTATATTCACAGGAAGTATAAAATATGTTACATGTGCCCATAAAAGTAAAATAAAATGGAAATTAGTTACAAATAATTTATTGTTGCTGGAAAAAACATTAAAGAAATTAGTTGACTTTTTTGCTGTTTCATCACCGTTTATATCTATACAGTGTGTTCATGATCAAATTGTTTACTAGAGTTCTTAATAGATCTAGCCTCTTTATTTTGCTTTTAAAGTGCACCAAATGAAAGCACTTAACTTTAAAATGTACAAATTTTTCTCCCGGGGGGGCATGCCCCCGGACCCCCGAGATGATTGAAGTCCACCCACCATAGTCTCACAAAGTCCTGTGGGAAACATTCTGTCTGAATCATATAGTTGGGTCAGACAGAATCACATTTTAAAAACTGAAAAGCAAAGTCTAAACAGATAAGTGCGGAGATAAATAAAGTGCAGAATGATGAGGACATTAAACAGGCCTCTGATGATTAAATATTTAAAGTAGTTTAATTGTCTGGCAAGAACATGGACTTTGTCTAGATTAGTAAATAACAAAATTGATCACATTTCAGGTTTTTGTGCAGATGAAAGAAAAAAGACTCTTCAGAGCGTCAAAAGAAAGGATTTCTCCCATATTTAAGGCAGATGGACTCAAATATAATGACTGACTACTGATTTGTTTTACTTGGTAGATGCAGCTGAATGAAACTGCTGTTTAGTCAGTGGATTTAAAAGCTCACTGTTATGATAATAACAAAAAACATTTGAAATATTTATTTGTGTGTATGTATTAATCTTAAGTGGTGGAAAGAGGGGGTGGGATCCACGGGAGAGCTTTTCCAGGAGTGAAAGTTGGGAGAATTCCCTTTTAGCTGTTTTTGGCATGGTTTCTAAAGCGTGTTTATGAAACAAATATAATTAATTGTTATGCTTGAATGCACCACATATCCAGCTGTGGCATTGCAGGGTCCCGGGAACCAGTCCCCAGAGCAAAACCCAAAGTAGCATTACAGTGTCAGTTACAGCGTTGTCATTGCTACTGGCTACAGTTGTGCTGGAATTTGTGGTGATGTTGATAGGGACGTGTTGTGTGTATCTGAGGAATGAGATACTGCGTCCGAAGGGACACCGTAAACTCACTGCTGACGCACCCTATTTTTCCTGTGATTATGCTAACGTTACATTGTGAACAATAAAGCCATGTTAAAATCATAGAAACCCTACTCTCTGTCAGCTCTAATGCAAACACAACACGGAGCGAAGTCAGTGGTCAGCAAAGCAGAGAAGCTGCACTGGAGAAGTGAAGATAACTCAAGTTGATGATGACTACACTTGTTACTGTAAGTAAGTGCATTAAAACCTTAACGAGTAAAAAGCCAATTCTTAAATCAATACACCTGTAAACCTGTAGAAAGCATATTATAGTGTATATAGTGAATTTGCTGTTGTAAACGTTACTGTTGCTGCTCCAGAAACAACATTTAGTTATATTTGAAATATTAAATTCTGACCCTGTTAGGAATTTATTCTAGTTAATGTAACGTTAGTCTTGATTATTTGACAAATCATGTGTTTATTTTTGTTGTTGGACAGGAGAGGAGAGAGCATGAGAGCAGAGAAGCAGAGCAGAGAATAGTAGAACATGTTTTAGGAAGCAGAATAAAAGGCGTCATCAAGCCTGGCATATAGATAAACTATTATATATATATATATATATATATATATATATATATATATAATTATATATTATATATATATATAATAATATATATATATATATAATTATAATTATATATTATATATATAATATAATATATATAATTATATATATTATATATTATATATATATATATATATATATATATATATAATTATTATATTAATATATATATATATATTATATAATATATATATATATATATATTTTATATATATATATATATATATATATATAAAATGTTTTTTGTTTGGTCCCAAATACCACTAAAGCGTTTTGGTTGCTTTTAATGTTTTTTTAGAGCAGTTTCTCAGCTGTGTTTGGAGACACACAAATAACGTTGTGTTTATTCATACAATCAAGAAAAAGTGGCGAGCCAATACTGTACTCTCCTGTTTTCAAATGTTTAAACTGAAAATCCAAAGTGTGACAACCACACCAGCTGATGTTTGCTTCCTGTAAGCTGACAGAAATCTTTCTAGGCTGGACAGTCCAGACAAATGATTCATGAGAGTAGCAATCACCTCTGACAGTGCCTACCCAGCATCCTTTCTGTCAAGCCAGTACTGTACAGGAGCACAGTTTCTAGTGACGTTTTAGAATTATATAATAGTATGCAGTATGTCATCTTATTTATTTACATTACCTTAGCTTAAAGTTTCCCATGGCGGATGGTGTTGAACTTCATGACTAATCTGTTAATTGGAGGTCATATGAGTTCCACAAGCCTTTAACCAATAGCCATCTAGAGTTAGCTGTCCTGCTAATCAGTTTAATTAATGGCACTCAATTATAATCAATTTTTTATACACCTTTTTAAATGTTAAATCCAAACTGAGTCACACAGGACAGAAAACAGCTACACTGCTTTTGCTTTGTATGGGTTTAACTTTGTAAAGCATGCTGCCCCTCTGGCAGTGTCCACAGCTGCCCACATTAATGCCTCTGCCCTGTTAGATTCTCCACTGTGGTTAATTTAGTCCCATAACTGTGACATAAAGCCTTGATGTGTCTCTATTTCCATCTCTAAGTAGAGTCCAAGTAGATCAGCCATGCAGACCAGCTGTTCTTTCCAGGCATTTCACTCTGTGTATTGCCAGGAATGTTGCATTAGACTTCATGGGGTGCATTTAAATAAACTAACTTTGGTGCTTGTGATACATTTGTGATGCCCACCCTGTCTTCCCAGCTATCCAGTTTTTAGCTATGGTGAGAGGTAACAATTTAACTCATCGTTTGAAGTGAGAAGGCTGGGAAGTTATTAGACAGACTGCAAGGGAGCAGCCTTCCTTTGTTAAAAGTTGGAAAGTGGTTGAGGGTGTATCTGCAAACACATGCTTTTATGTTTATAATTGATGTGACACATGATTAATAAATGACTTTCACAATTGTCTTTAAAAAAAAAAACGTTTCGTGCTTTTATATTTTGATGCATTTTTTTGTTTGTTTTTACACAGGCTGTGTACCAGTCTGCACGACATGCATAACATGTAGTTGTTAAAGCTTTACTTAAATATCCCATTATTTAAGCTTTACTTTTCAAAATAAAACTCATCATTTACATTCATGCCTATACTTGTGTCTTGCCCATAAATAGATGATGTGTCACGTGGTCAGGATGACTGTAGAATTCATCATATCCCAATATTCTTCCTCAATACTCACTCTTGTAGCTTTGCCTAAAAGTGAGATTTCATTGTGCAACTCAGACAAGAAAGTAAAAAAACAAACTCATGCCTAAACGGTTCTGCTATTGGATTAAAGATGGATGGGAGCCAATTCAACCACCAACGTAACACCAACATTTATGGTACAGTACATTCAGTAAGAGTGGGTGTATGGAAAAGTCGTGATTTCTTTGTAACTGTTTGTATTTTAAATCATAAACCAGTCATTTTTAGTCGTGATTTAGGACATGTACTACACAATCTTTTGGGATTATACATTACAGTTGACACATTACATCTGTCATGCTGACAAGTGTGTCATTTAGCTTCCTTAGATATTCACCACAAGGTTTTTGATGATAAACACATCAGCCATTAGTTACAGCAGGCTTTTTTTCTAGCCTCTTTTGATAGATGACTCCTTTTCCCTGCTAGAGCAGAAATCCATCCATCGATCCCTGTAAAGTTCACCGCCATCAAATGAATGCTAAGCGTTTCTCATTTTACTGGGCTGTGTTAACAGTGTGTCCTACATGGTGTCACCAAATGCTCAAGTCCTGTAGGCCTACAGAAATGCATTTAATTTTTGTTGATATGAGGCAGTTATCATTTAAGAAAACAGTGCTGGCAAAGATGATGTGGTTTGGCCCATTTCCATTAAGCCAATATTGAGAACACGATACATGTGATTATATGGTTCATCATTGTAAGCATAGAAATAATGTCAGAACAAGCCTTTTGGGTTGTTAACATCCAACAAGTTGTTTCTGTATATTTAGTCAGACAAGGGAAGTGTTATTTTAGATGTATCAAATTTGAAGCATTAAGCTTAGCTTTTATTGAACTTTCTTCCAGCAGTATCCTGTACTTAAATGGTGTCTTTATAGACAATGTCAGTGTAATTTGGTTAGACAGTGTTTGAGAAATAAAATTATGTTCTAGTTTTTCAACTCTGTCACTTAACCTGAATCTGGTTTGCTGAATAAAATCCATAACAGGCTTTCTTGGTGCAAATGACTTTATCATCATCATCATCAATAACATATTTTGTTTTTAGCAGCTTTAAGTAACCATCTGACAAAGTGTGGTGTTTCAGTCCCATCTGCCAGTGCAACAACCCTATTGCAGCAGCAGCACCCAGACATTGGAAAGACAACAAGTGTGTTCTTGAAATAATGTCTGACTTAAAAAACATAATAAATAAAAGGTTTGCTTTGGCCTTGTCTTACTCTCTTGGTTTCAACAGGACTGTTTCAGAATTGAATTAAGACTCTATTTTAGAGGTTTAACCCATTAAGCCTGCACCCTGATCCTGAGGCCAGAGCTGGACACCCGACAGTATCCTTTCCATGATGATACAAGCCAGTTCCGTTTGAATGTTGAAGTCAGTTGGTGCTGAAGCCTCTTTTCACATCCTGAGAGGCCGTTTCCACTTTTGTGATCCTGTGAAAATCATGTATCTTCAAAACATCAACTTTTCACAAGCTAAGAAAAACGGCATTTCCGTCTTTGATGCAATTACATTTTCTGCTAATCCAGCGGGTATTTAACTGGTTTATTTATTTTGACAATTATGAGAATTTTCTTAACCCATGAAGGAGCACTTAGTCTTTCAGATTGTCTGAATCACCAAATTTGTAGATACTTGGGTCCTTATACATTGAATGGAGCAGTGTGTGTGTGTGTGTGTGTGTGTGTGTGTGTGAAAAAAAATAAGTACAATGACTTTAGTGAAGAACGGCATTTCCTAATGTCAGTTCCCATTAAAAGAACATTGACCTTTTGAGAAGCTTGTTTGCCTTCAAACTACCTATTCAGACCAGAAGATCGATTTCAATTTAAGCAAGTCTTCAATATAGTGAGCATACCGTACACAAGACTAGAGGCTAGAGAGAGTCTTCATCAAAAGTAAAAAAGACATGTTGTCCAGCAACTCTTTGTGGTCGTCATACCTGAAAATGACCTTACATCAGTGCGGAAAGAGGCTTGGAAGCAGAAATTGCGCGTCACTGCGCATCATTCCACAACTGTTATCATTTCTAAAATGTTGGTGATTTTTGTTGTCAATTTAATACAAATACCTTGCTATAAGTCCAAGGTTATAAAGTTCAGATTTTGTTGAAACTATTTTAGAGAGGTGTTGATTTAACTGTCCATTCATTTTGGAGGCTGTAGTTTGTGGTGCTGGACACAATATATTTTCAAAACAACAAAAATATTATATCATAACCTTGTGTTTCCACCCACCTGTAAAACTGCTGTGACCTCCCCAATGAAAAGTAAAGGAATAGGAAATGTAGAGTAACTTATTATAATATTTATTAATAAATGTTTACGATGTGTCTTTTAGTATGTTCTGTTATCAAAAGTAGTGTTTATCTTTGGTTTAGGTACCAATTCTTTGTTTTAGCTGTCTATTTCCAAATATATTAGGAATTACTTAATGCATAAATAGCATCAAATAGATTCAAAAAAAAAATGCTTTACTGCTAAAAAGTAAAGCTCTTCACTCAAACACACACACACACACACACACACACACACACACACACACACACACACACACACACACACACACACACACACACACACACACACACACACACACACACTCCAAATGCCTTCTAGCAGTATCCTGCCATCTGCTCCTCCAAAATGAAATCACAGATCCCAGCCACCCGGTTTGCAGGCTCTGTGGCCCCCTCTCGTTGATGCGGGCACACATACACACACACACACACACGCAGTGTCACACATGCACTCAGACCCCCCCCCCCTCCATTGGGGCCTGGCCACCACCGGATAATTAGACCTACAAGCTGGAAGGGAGGGTT